TGACCATTGTTGAAAGGACACTGAGGCCTTTTTTGAGTGGACAGGGTCGTATTGACCTTTTTGTATAGAGAAAATGGCATTGATCTTTGTGTGGAAAATGACATTGACCTTCATGTGTCTAGAAAAGGACACTGACCTTTTGTGTGAAGGACACTGACCTTTTTGTGTGGAGGACACTGACCTTTTTGTGTGGAAGGACACTGACCTTTTTGTGTGGAGAAGGACACTGACCTTTTTGTGTGGAGAAGGACACTGACCTTTTTGTGTGGAGAAGGACACTGACCTTTTTGTGTGGAGGACACACCTTTTTGTGTGGAGGACACTGACCTTTTTGTGTGAAGGACACTGACCTTTTTGTGTGGAGAAGGACACTGACCTTTTTCTGTGGAGGACACTGACCTTTTTGTGTGGAGGACACTGACCTTTTTGTGTGGTAGAAGGACACTACCTTAATGGTGTGAGAAGGACACTGACCTTTTTGTGTGAAGGACACTGACCTTTTTGTGTGGAGAAGGACACTGACCTTTTTGTGTGGAGAAGGACACCGACCTTTTTGTGTGGAGAAGGACACCGACCTTTTTGTGTGAAGGACACTGACCTTTTGTGTGGAGGACACTGACCTTTTGTGTGGAGTGACCACCGACCTTTTGTGTGGAATGGACACTGACCTTATTGTGTGGAGAAGGACACTGACCTTTTTGTGTGGAGGACACTGACCTTTTATATGGAGGACACTGACCTTTTGTGAGAGGACACTGACTTTTTGAGTGGAGAAGGACACCGACCTTATTAGTGTGGGAGGACACAGACCTTTTGTAGTGGAGGACACTGACCCTTTAGTGATGGAGGACACGACCTTATTTGTGTGGAGGACACTGACCTTTTTGTGTGGAGAAAGACCACTGACCATTATAAATTGGATGACACTGACCTTTTTTTTGGTGTGGAGGACACTGACCTTTTTGAGTGGAGAAGGACACTGGACCATTATTGAGTGGAGCAGGACCACGAACCTTTTTGTGAGGAAAGGACCCTGGACCTTTTTGTGTGGGAAGGACCCTGAGACCTTTTTAGTGGAGAAGGACACAGACCCATTTTGTGTGGAGAAGGACAATGACCTTTTTGTGTGGAGGACACAGACCTTTTGTGTGGAGGACACAGACCTTTTGTGTGGAGAAGACCCTGACCTTTTTGTGTAGGACACTGACCCTTTTGTGTGGAGCAGGAGACACTGACCCTTTTTTGTGGAGGACCCTGACCATTTTTGTGTTGAGGACACTGACCTATTAGTGTGGAGGACAACTGAGCCTTGTGTTGGAGAAGGACCTGACCCTTTTTGTGTGTGAGAAGGACACTGACCTTTTATGTGGGAGGACACTGACCTTTGTGTGGAATACGTACACTGACCTTTTGTGTGGCGACACTGAACCATTTTGGAGGGGGGGGGGGGGAGGGAGAAGACACAGCATCTATTATTGTAGTGGAGGACACTGACCTTTTTGTTGTTGGAGAAGGACACTGTGACCTTTTTGTGTGGAGGACACTAGACCTTTTTTGTGTGTTGAGCAAGGACACTGAGACCTTTTATGTGTGGAGAAGGACCACACCGACCTTTTGTTTGGAGAAGGACACGACCCCTTTTTTGTGTGGAGGACACTGACCTTTTTGTGTGGGAGAAGGACAACTGACCATTTTGGTGTGGAGAAGGCAACTGACCTTTTTGTGTGGAGGGACACTGACCATTTTGTATGTGGAAAGGGACACTGACCTTTTGTGTGGAGAAGGACACTGACCTTTTTTGAGTGGAGGAATCACTGACCTTTCTGGTGTGGAGAAAGGGCCACTGACCTTATTTTAGTGTGGAGAAGGACACCGACCATTTGTGTGGAGACGGACACTGACTTTTTTGTGTGGAGGCCACAGCACCTAATGTGTGGAAGAGAAGGACACTGACCTTTTTGTGTGGAGAAGGACACTGACCTTTTTGTGTGGAGGACACTGACCTTTTTGTGTGGAGAAGGACACTGACCTTTTTGTGTGGAGAAGGACACTGACCTTTTTGTGTGGAGGACACTGACCTTTTGTGGATTGGAGAAGGACACTGACCTTTTGTGTGGAGAAGGACACTGACCTTTTTGTGTGGAGGACACTGACCTTTTTGTGTGGAGAAGGACACTGACCTTTTTGTGTGGAGGACACTGACCTTTTTGTGTGGAGAAGGACACTGACCATTTTTATGTGTGGAGAAGGAAACCGACCATGTTTGTGTGGAGGAAGTACACTGACCTTTTAGTGGTGGAGACACTGACCTTTTTGTGTGGATACACTGACCTTCTTGTGTGGAGGGACAACCGACTATTTGTGTGGAGAAGGACACTGACCTTTTTGTGTGGAGGACACTGACCTTTTTGTGTGGAGAAGGACACTGACCTTTTTGTGTGGAGAAGGACACTGACCTTTTTTGGGTGGAGGACACCGACCTTTTTGTGTGGAGAAGGACACTGACCTTTTGTGTGGAGGACACTGACCTTTTTGGTGTGTAAGAAGTACACCTGACCTTTTTGTGTGGAGAAGTGACACCACCGACCTTTTTTGTGTGGAGAAGGACACTGACCTTTTTTGTGTGGAGAAGGAACACCGACCTTTTGTGTGGTGAAGGACCAATCCGACCTATTTATGTGTGGAGACCTGACCTTTGTATTCGGAAAAGGACACAGGGGGGTACAAGAATAGCATCAGCCAGGAACTTCCTAATAATCTGTACCTGGTAACTGAACCTGTTGTAACTGTAACCTTAAAAACTGGTACCTGTTTAACTGTACCTGTGTAACTACCTGTGTAACTGTACCTGTGTAACTGTACCTGTATAACTGTACCTGTGTAACTGTACCTGTGTAACTGTACCTGTATAACTGTACCTGTGTAACTGTACCTGTGTAACTAACTGTGTAACTGTACCTGTGTAACTGTACCTGTGTCCCTGATACCAGTGTAATGTACCCTGTAATAACTTACCTGTGAAACTTTACCTGTGTAACTACCTGTGTAACTGTACCTGTGTAACTGTACCTGTGTAACTACCTGTGTAACTGTACCTGTATAACTGTACCTGTGTAACTGTACCTGTGTAACTCCCTGTGTAACCTGTACCTGAGTAACTGAACCTTATACCTGTACCTGGTAACTGTACCTGTGTAACTGTACCTGAGTCACTACCTGTGTAACTGTACTGTGTAACTGTACCTTGTAACTGTACTGTTGTAACTGTACCTGTATAACTGTACCTGTGTAACTGTACCGTGTACTCCCTGTGTAACGTACGTGTAACTGTACCTGTATAACTGTACCTGTGTAACTGTACCTGTGTAACTTGAACCTGTATAACTGCAACCATGTAACTGTACCTGAGTAACTGTACCTGTGTAACTACCTTGTAACTGTATCACCGTGGTAACTGTACCTGTGTAACTGTACCTGTGTAACGTACCTGTGTAATTTGTACCTGTGTAACTGTACCTGATGTAACTGTACCTGTGTAAGTAGCCTGGTAACTGTACCTAGGTAACTGTACCTGTGTAACTACCTGGTACTGTACCTGTGTAACTGTTACCTGTGAACTGTACCTGCTGTACTGTACCTGTAGTAACTGTACCTGTGTAACGTGTACCTTGTAAAAGTACCTGTGTAACTGTACCTGTGTAACTGTACCTGTGTAACTGTACCTGTGTAACTGTACCTGTGTAACTACCTGTGTAACTGTACCTGTGTAACTGTACCTGTGTAACTGTACCTGTGTAACTGTACCTGTGTAACTGTACCTGTGTAACTACCTGTATAACTGTACCTGTGTAACTGTACCTGTGTAAAACTGTACCTGTGAAAACTACCTGTATTACCTGTTACTACCTGTGTAACTGTACCTGTGTAACTGTACCTGTGTAACTGTACCTGTGTAACTGTACCTGTGTAACTACCTGTGTAACTGTACCTGTGTAACTACCTGTGTAACTGTACCTGTGTAACTACCTGTGTAACTGTACCTGTGTAACTACCTGTGTAACTGTACCTGTGTAACTGTACCTGTGTAACTGTACCTGTGTAACTACCTGTGTAACTGTACCTGTGTAACTGTACCTGTGTAACTGTACCTGTGTAACTGTACCTGTGTAACTGTACCTGTGTAAGTTGGGTTTCTTTGTATTGTGGTAGTTTATTTATTAACGTAAGTTATCTAAGATAACTCAAAATAATCAGAATTATCGCCAGAAATGTTCATTGTGTGTGTGTGTGTGTGTGTGTGTGTGTGTGTGTGTGTGTGTGTGTGTGTGTGTGTGTGGTGTGTACTCACCTAGTTGTACTCACCTAGTTGAGGTTGCGGGGGTCGACCGAGCTCCTGGCCCCTCTCCCGCCTCTCTCACCTGATCGTTTTTAACTAGTCACTCTCCCTGACACGTGAGCTTTATCGTAACCTATGCTTAAACTATGTAGTGGATCCTTGCCTCCACTACATCTGGCTTCCCATAACTATTCCTTCCTGACAACTCTGTGGCCTGAAGAATACTTTCCTACATCCCTGTGAATCATCGTGTCTTAGCTTCCAACTGTGTCCCCTTGTTACTGTGTCATCCTTTGGAACTCCTGTCTTTTGTCCACCTTGTGTGTGTGTGTGTGTGTGTGTGTGTGTGTGTGTGTGTGTGGGGTGTGTGTGTGTGTGTGTGCGTGTATTTGTGGTTGCAGAGGTCGGTTCATAGCTCCTGGCCCCGCCTCTTCACTGGCCCTCTCGTTCCCCCCCCCCTCCCCACTCAACAATTTCACTCCAGTCTTCACCTCTCCCTCCCTCTCTTTCTCTCGTTTTCCTCCACCCTGATATTCCTTCCTGCCGTTCTCTGTGGTCTGCCCCTCCCTCCTTCCTCTCCCTCCTCGCCCCTTCCCTCGTCCCTTCCCCTCGCCCCTTCCCCTCGCCCCTTCCCCTCGCCCCTCCTCCTCACCCCACTATCTCAACAGCGCAAAAGACCACCAAAACGTTCGGGGTTTCAATACAGTGTGGGCGCGCGAGTGTCGCAGGTGCGGTGGGCGGGTGTATGCCCGCACCTAGTTACCAGGGGCTCCAGCTTAATTTATTGCGTCAGCTTAAGAGTGCCAGCTTAATCTATTGTACTTCTCATCACCTGATTGTGCTTACAAGGAACAGGTAGGTGTCTGTTACATCTCTGTTCTCTCTCATACTGCCCAACACAACATGGGCAGAGGGACCCGTCTAGTTTAATGCCTTGGAACTATGTCTTGTACAAGTTTAACAACATTATCGCACGAACATTCTTTATTCTGCTAGAATAAACTGTAGATCCTTCCAATGTTTTCGTTAATTTCGTAAAAAGTCAGCGTTTTACGGGGCCAGGCAAGCACCAAACGAGCCTGGCCCAGGGCCGGGCTCCGTCAGTAGTGGAACTCGTGAAACCCATCCAAGGTACAGCAGAGTTAGATGATAGAGAGCAGAGATGAAAGCAACTCTTGAGAAATTTCTGTCTGCAAATAGGAAGATAGAGTGTACCGCCGAAATACCTAGCCATGCTAGGTGCCCTAGTGGCCACCTCTGTAATTAGTGCTTTAACACGTGTAAACCACACAATACCCAAAATCTGTAAACCCGCATTGTAATAATTATACAGAATAAACTTTGATTGATTGATTGATTGATTGATTGATTGAAAGACTTGTAACAGCCTGGTTTGATCAGGCTCTGATCCACTGCGAGTCCTGGTCACAGACCGGGCCTCGGGGGCATTGACCCCCCGGAACCCTCTCCAGGTGAATTGCACACTGAACATCAGGGTTTAAACTGAGGGTTTGAAGCCTCTTAATTAAACACGGAGTCTCAATGGAAGTCACTTTGGCTTCCTTAGGTAGGGTTTACCTGGAGTTTACCTGGAGAGGGTTTTGGGGTCAACGCCCCCGCGGCTCGGTCTGAGACCAGGTCTCATGGTGGATCAGGGTCTGATTAACCAGGCTGTTACTGCTGGCCGCACGCAAACTGACGTACGAACCACAGCCCTGTTGGTCAGGTACAGATTTCAGGTGCCTGTCCAGTGCTTTCTTGAAGACAGCCAGGGGTCTTGAAGACAGCCAGGGGTCTTGAAGACAGCCAGGGATCTTGAAGACAACCAGGGGTCTTGAAGACAGCCAGGGGTCTTGAAGACAACCAGCGGTCTTGAAGACAACCAGCGGTCTTGAAGACAGCCAGAGGTCTTGAAGACAACCAGGGGTCTTGAAGACAACCAGGGGTCTTGAAGACAACCAGGGGTCTTGAAGACAACCAGGGGTCTTGAAGACAACCATGGGCCTTGAAGACAACCAGGGGTCTTGAAGACAACCATGGGTCTTGAAGACAACCATGGGTCGAAGACAACCAGGGGTCTTGAAGACAACCAGGGGTCTTGAAGACAACCAGGGGTCTTGAAGACAACCATGGGTCTTGAAGACAACCATGGGTCTTGAAGACAACCATGGGTCTTGAAGACAACCAGGGGTCTTGAAGACAACCAGGGGTCTTGAAGACAACCATGGGTCTTGAAGACAACCAGGGGTCTTGAAGACAACCATGGGTCTTGAAGACAACCAGGGGTCTTGAAGACAACCAGGGGTCTTGAAGACAACCAGGGGTCTTGAAGACAACCATGGGTCTTGAAGACAACCATGGGTCTTGAAGACAACCATGGGTCTTGAAGAAACCAGGGGTCTTGAAGACAACCATGGGTCTTGAAGACAACCATGGGTCTTGAAGACCAGGGGTCTTGAAGACAACCAGGGGTCTTGAAGACAACCAGGGGTCTTGAAGACAACCATGGGTCTTGAAGACAACCATGGGTCTTGAAGACAACCAGGGGTCTTGAAGACAACCATGGGTCTTGAAGACAACCATGGGTCTTGAAGACCAGGGGTCTTGAAGACAACCAGGGGTCTTGAAGACAACCAGGGGTCTTGAAGACAACCAGGGGTCTTGAAGACAACCATGGGTCTTGAAGACAACCATGGGTCTTGAAGACAACCATGGGTCTTGAAGACAACCAGGGGTCTTGAAGACAACCATGGGCCTTGAAGACAACCAGGGATCTTGAAGACAACCATGGGTCTTGAAGACAACCAGGGGTCTTGAAGACAACCAGGGGTCTTGAAGACAACCAGGGGTCTTGAAGACAACCATGGGTCTTGAAGACAACCATTGGTCTTGAAGACAACCATGGGTCTTGAAGACAACCAGGGGTCTTGAAGACAACCAGGGGTCTTGAAGACAACCAGGGGTCTATTGGTAATGCCCCTTATGTATGCTGGGAGGCAGTTGAACAGTCTTGGAACCCTGACACTTGCTGTGTTTTCTCTCAGTGTACTAATGGTACCCATGCTCTCATTGGGGAAATGTAGCATCTCCTGCTGAGATGCAACATTCTCCCAGTGAAAATTAGGGGCGCTCTGACCGAGCCGCGGGGGCGCTGACCCCCTGAAACCCTCTCCAAGTCCCCAGGTAAACACAGAATGCACAGTTTTCCAGCGCTAGAAAACTTCACGATTATTTGAAACAATAGACAAACCATACCACGGGTGGGGTTTGAACCCGCGGTCAGAGAGTCACAAAACTCCAGACCGTCGCGTTAGCCACTGGACCAGCTAGCTTCAATATGATTCATCCAACTAGGTATATTTATGCACCATAGGAAGGTTAGCATAGGCCACCACTGTGACCACAAATGCAAGTTTTTACAGACGAATCTCCAGCTAGCGTGGCTGTGACGAACTCTAGCTCACGTCCCAGTGGTCACAGTGGTGGCCTATGCTAACCTTCCTATGGTGTAGAAATATACCTAGTTGGACGAATCTTATTGAAGCTAGCTGGTCCAGTGACTAACGCGACAGTCTGTAGTTTTGAGACTCTGACCGCGGGTTCAAACCCCACCCGTGGTATGGTTTCTCAAACTTGTAATTAAATACACCTGGAGTTAGGTCTACCTGATTTTCCTCATAACATTGCGTATTTCTGATCATATTCAATAGATATTATTTGTCATACGAGGCTGTTGGTGCTGCCTCCTAGCCTGTGTGATGGCTCAGTACCTTCACCAGTAATAATGTCAAATACCAACATGGAAAACACACAGATGAAGTATCATGTGACTTTCGTTATATAAATGCCAATAGAATTTACCACAATATGTAAAGGGACACAAGTGTAACTAATGTGACATTTTATTGTGGGAACGTTTCGCCCTCCAGGAATTTTGTTAAGCTGTTACCACGAAAAACTAATGTGAAGGACCTGGGAGTGATAATGTCAGAGGATCTCACTTTCAAAGACCACAACAATGTATCTACCTCATCTGATTGGATGGATAATGAGAACCTTCAAAACTAGGGATGTGATGTCCGTGATGATTCTCTTCAAATCGCTTGTTCTCTCTAGGCTGGAATACACTGCTTCTTTCAAGGCAGGTGAAATTGCTGACCTGAAGAATGTACAGAGAACTTTCATGGCACACAAGTGCGATAAAGGACCTAAATTACTTGGAACGATTGAAGCCCCTTGATTTGTATTCCCTGGAACGCAGGCGAGAAAGATACATGATAATATACACTTGGAAAGTCCTAGAGGGATAAACACCAAACTTACACACGAAAATCAATCCTTATGAAAGCAAAAAGACTCGAAAGGAGATGCAACATTATCGTAACGAGAAGCAGAGGCGCCACGAATACACTGAGAGACAACACAATAAGTGTCAGGGGCCCAAGACTGTTCAACTGTCTCCCAGCATATATAAGGGGAATTACCAATAGGCCCCTGGCTGTCTAAGAAGGCACTAGACAGGCACCTAAAGTCAGTACCTGACCAGCCGAGATGTGGTTCCTACGGCGGCTTGCGTGTTTCCATTAGTAACAGCCTTGTTCATCAGACCCTGATCCACCACGAGGCCTGGTCTCAGGCAACTTCAATCCGAAACGTTTCGCCTACACAGTAGGCGTCTTCAGTCGACTACAGAAAGTAGGCAGGAGCAGTAGAGATGTGAAGACGATGTAATTACTCCATCACCCTTGATGTAGTAGGTTTGAGGTTGTCAGACCCTCAAGAAGCCTACTGTGTAGGCGAAGCATTTCGGTTTAAAGTTACCTAACTGTTGCCTGTGTGTCTTACCAACCCGTCGGTATTGTTTACCATTTTGATATTCAACTCGAGAGGGGTGTTAATGTTGCAGTTTAAAAACTGTAGTGTAAAGCACCCTTCTGGCAAGACAGTGATGGAGTGAATGATGGTGAAAGTTTTTCTTTTTCGGGCCACCCTGCCTTGGTGGGAATCGGCCAGTGTGATAATATATATATATAATAAAAATATATATACTAAGAATAAGGTAAATAAGTCACTTATATTAACCTTAAAGGAGGACCAGATCACAGTAATAGGTACTTGTACGTCACCTATACAAGAAACCACTCTCTTCTCTCTCTGTACCTACATTAATTAGGTACCTTTTAGCTCTCTTGAACCGGCTCATGCTATGACAGGCTTTGGCACGTGTAGGCAGCCTGTTCCACTCCTTTAGTGCTTAACAATAAAAGGTGTTTGAAGTCTGGCCACTGACCGGGCACTATAATTGTGATTACCAGTCTTGACAAACTTGGCAGCAAGATATTCTGGGGACTGTGAGGGTGATGGGTGATGGGGAGGGAGAGGTGGGAGATCAGGAGAGAGAGGGTGGGAGATCAGGAGAGAGAGAGAGGGTGGGAGATCAGGAGAGTGAGAGAGGGTGGGAGATCAGGAGAGTGAGAGAGGGTGGGAGATCAGAGAGAGGGTGGGAGATAAGGAGAGTGAGAGAGGGTGGGAGATCAGGAGAGTGAGAGAGGTGGGAGATCAGGAGAGAGAGAGGGTGGGAGATCAGGAGTGAGAGAGGGTGGGAGATCAGGAGAGAGAGAGAGGGTGGGAGATCAGAGATGAGAGAGGGTGGGAGATCAGGAGAGAGAGAGAGGGTGGGAGATCAGGAGAGTGAGAGAGGGTGGGAGATCAGGAGAGAGAGAGAGGGTGGGAGATCAGGAGAGTGAGAGAGGGTGGGAGATCAGGAGAGAGGGTGGAGATCAGGAGAGAGGGTGGGAGATCAGGAGAGTGAGAGAGGGTGGGAGATCAGGAGAGTGAGAGAGGGTGGGAGATCA